ATCATTCAGAAATCAACCAACAACTACAACCGCTTTACAAACACACCATCCACATACAAACACACATTCAGGATAAATTCCCGTCACAAGGGCAGCAACTATTCAACCTCGACACCCCCACCATTCCGCTCATAAAAACGAACATCCAAGGAATCGGGGTAAAATTGGGCAGTTTACACAGTGACCGAAATCCCATTCAAATAAATAGTAAACGAACTCTAAAAATTATGAAATTTGGATATGTTGTGTAAAACATCTTGATAAACATTTTCCGTGAAGAACTTGAAACCCAGTTCCAACTGTAAACACCTCTTTTGATCACTTGAAGTCAGATGAAAATCAACCCGTCCGGTCAGGCCACCTGACCATAAAAATGCATCTCTTCCAGTACCCAAATCACTTTAGAAAACCTTGAAATTTTTATATGTCATAGTCACAAATGTACCCAACAAGTTTTGTGAAGGAAGTATTTTGAAAATGGGTCTGGAAAAATTTATAAAAATTCGAACAGATCCGAAGGTCGGAGGAACAATATTTCCAGCACACGAATTTCGGTCCAAAGATGGACTTCCGAATGGCCTCCGATGATTTAAAAAAATTCTCAAATTAAATTATGTCATACATCAAGATGTTGGGAGAAACTTTCATGAAGACAACTTCCTCAAATTCGGCCTACACAATTCTCCACAAAAATAGTAAATCGGACGGGTATAGTAACCGCGAATCAGAAATTCACCTCAAATTTCAATGATCCGAGCCTTAGTTGATATCCACCCAATTTCAACCCACAAAACTCACTCCACAATGCTCAAACTACCATCCAACAGCCACAAGGATATCCAAGAACACAATGAAAGATCGAGCTCTCCTTTAATCTACCTATAATCACCTCAATCACCCCTAAAACCGACTAAACCGCGTCTAAACTAGTCCGATAATACCCGATGTCCTAGGCAAGGATTAGATTGCGACTTACCCGACTCTAGACTCACGCGGCTAGAGTGAAACGGGTGCGATCGGCGCGGCGGCGCGGCTCGGCGGTGGCGACGGCAAACGGCGGTGGCGATCCGGTCGGGTGGTGACCGGCGTGCGGCTGCTCGACGAGGGGAGGGAGCCGGTTCGGTGGGTGAGGGAGAGGGAGAGAGATGCCGTGAGATGAGAGAGAGAGGAAATGAGGAGAGAGAGAGAGGTCTTGGCTTAAAAACCAAGTTTTGACCAACTTTTTGCCAAATGACCAAAATGCCCTTCTCTCTACTTTTCATCCGACGGCCCAGATTCGATCTTATCTTGAAACCGACGGCCCAGATCGAATCTCATCCAAAATATCCAAGGGTAATCTTGGAATTTCTCAAAAAGTCCAAGGGCAAAAGTGTCTTTTCCAAATTTTGGGGCAAAATTACCAAAATGCCCTTGCTCCATAAAACTAGCCCTTTAGAAATTCTTAGGGGTAAAATGGTCACTCTCCTCATTTCTCATCGAAATCGAATTTTTCTGAACGAATCGGGACAATCCAAAATTACACGTTTCAACCGCAACGTCGTCCTAACGTCCCATTGTGACTTCCTAATTTTCCGATGTCCAATTTGGGCTCAATTAAATAATTAAATTTTATTAAACGCAACTCGAGTGTTTCTCAAACTAACGGGTGGCTCGTTGGGGAAATTCGCATATTCGACCCGTGACTGATAATAAATCGAGTCACGTGCAAGTTCGTTCGGTTCGTGACGATTTCGGTTGTCATTTAAATCGTGAGGATCAATCACTAGATCAGAGGGGCACGATCGTTTGGTATAAGTTCAGGACAGTTCGTCAATTCATTTCGTGGTCCAGCGGAATTACCCGCGATCCGCTACTATGACAGTGGCGAACTGACCCCTAGTTATCCTTAGATCGGCCAACAGTGGCTCCAAATATCACCTCGACGATTTTATGGTCGAAAGTCAATTCACGATCGAATTTTCTCTTAGTCGTACGAATTTAGATCTCCAGTCAGCCTTTCCCTATTGATTAGTATCCCAGGAATGATCAGTTCCGGGCGAAAACTAACTACGAGTACGTTCATAAAATCAAGTATTTCATAAACCCCAAATGGACAAATTTCAGGATGTCATAGTAACTTAGTTCATCCGATAGAAATACTTTTTCGTAAAGCATTTCTCATATCATTTCATAAACATAATTCACTAATCGATATGTATAATCTTTAATAACATCTTCCATAAAACGTTTCTCAAATCATCTTAAAACTCATTCCATAAACAAATTCGCAACATAATACACGTATATCCGTTAACAATATTTTTCTTAAAACCATTCTCAAATTTCTCGAGGGAAGAACAGCATTGGTGCCAAAAGTTGTATACGGAGCTCACTTTGATGCCAAAAGTTTCATTTGGATCACTTAAGTGCCAAATCGGAGGAAAAATAATCACTTTGGTGCCAACGGCGAGAAATTCTGGCCAAATTAATACGTGGCATTTATAATTAATATTTTAATCTTAGTTGGATTTTTTTTATAAAAAAATTAGTCTACGTGGCATTTCTACGTATATATTTCGATTTTTTAAATACTTTTCTGAATTTTTTTCTTTTTTTTTCTTCTTTTCTTTCTTCTCCCTTTGGTCACCGCCGGTGACCGGAGGCCGGCCACCGGCAGCCTGGCCTCGCACGGATGAGGCCGCCGCCGCCCGCCACAGGCGAGGCCCGGCCGACCCTCGCCCGGGCGAGGACGGGCAAGCCCCGGCGAGGTCGGCCTCGCCTCGCATGGGCGAGGGCGAGCCCGCGAGGGCTCCCTCGCCCGGGTTCGACGAGGCCGGCCGTGGCCCGGCCACGGCGGCCTCGCCTCGCATGGGCGAGGGCGAGCCCGGCGAGGTCGGCCTCGCCTCGCATGGGCGAGGCGAGCCCGGCGAGCCTCCTCGCCGAGTCCGGTGAGGCCGGATGTCACCCGGGACGGGCGCGGATGTCACCGAAGGCGACTCGGCGGGGCCGCCGTGGCCTCGGCGACGGCTGGCCTCACCGGATCCGGCGAGGAGGCCTCGCCGGGCTCGCCTCGCCCATGCGAGCGAGGCCGACCTCGCCGGGCTTGCCCGCCGTCGCCCGAGCGAGGTTCGGCGGGCCTCGCTTGTGGCGGACGGCGGCGGCCTCGTCCGGGCGAGGCCAGGCGGCCCGGTGGCCGGCCTCCGGTCACCAGCGGTGACCAAAGGGAGAAGAAAGAAAAGAAAAAAAGAAAAGAAAGAAAAGAAAAAAAAAAGAAAAAAGAAAAAAAATTATTTAAAATCAAAAATGCTGACTGTACGTGCTGACTATATCTCCGGCGAGCCACATCGGCTTCAAAAATTAATAAAAAAATGTCACGTCGGATTTCCGGCCAAACTGACCGGAGTTGGCACTTAAGTGATCGTTTTTCAAAATTTTTGGCACTTAAATGATCCAAATGAAACTTTTGGCACCAAAGTGAGCTCCGTATACAACTTTTGGCACCAATGCTGTTCTTCCCCCCAAATTTCTCAAATCGTTGTCAAATATCAAAAGGTAGTAATTGCCTGATCCAGAATTTTATCCAACAAACATGCTTTAGTAACTCGTACGATACTCAAATCCTTATCACTTTGGAAACATGAGTTTATAAACTCAAAGAAGAGATATCAGCACTCACCTGAGAATGCCTACGATCAAACGAAAAAGGTTACTCGATTCGTCAAACTCGCAATCCTAACAAATGAGCGAGAAACAACATTAAAATCGAGTAAAAGGCTACCTTGACTACGACTCGGCTAAACTAAGCTTAACCGGTAACGAACGACTCAAAGGTGCCCACAAATCGCTCATCCAAAGCGATTATCCAAAACTATTCGCAAACGTGGAGCTTGAACGCGAAACTTGATTGCGCCATAACTCTCTCCACCGAACCCCGTTCCAAGCAAGCTTACAGTTAAAATGAAGATATTTCAAAGTACTAGAAGACCCATCACTTGGCCGTCCCAAAATTGAGCTGAAAACCGACGAAAATCGGCCTAAAGGCCACTGGTCGCGCAATGTTCACCACATGTGCTCAACTTAAAAAATTCATTTCGGGCAAACGGTAAGTGCAAATCAAGTTCCGTAAAATCCCACGGCTCCACAACACCCTAAACTACTAATTCTATATATATACACGGCTTAACGACTCAAAAATTACACTTTGCAACTTGATTTTCACAAAACTCCGAAATTGTGCCCTAATTCCGAAAAATACTCCGATTGGATGAATGAAAGGTGCAAGTGGTTATCGAACGATGCGATATTAAGTAACTCTAGCTTGGCGAGAATCTCGTGACGAGTGGCAAGGATCTCGTGATGAGTAGCGCGAAACCCTCTTTTTTCTCTTCCCCTTTCCCTTTCTTCCTCTTTCTTTCTTTCCTTGCTTTCTCTTTCTTTTCTTCTCTCTCCCCGTGAGCTCTCGGTCTCCTGATAAAAAGACCAAAAGTCCACTATAGCTTCTTTATTGACTTTTCCACTTTTTCCTTTTTCTCTTTTTTTTTCCCTTTGACCTTTTGACTTTATAACCCATATTTTACAATCATAACTTACCAACCTTAATTATCCGATTAATTTGTTTAAGACTTGAAAATCCAAACATTCATGGTGGCAAATGGCATAACTTTTTTCATCAAATTCAAAAGATTTACTTGTTACTAACATAGTTTAACCCTTGCTCTTCTTTCTTTAGGGTCTTATTTCACTTCGATAGTATCATAAATCGGTTCGATATAGATGGAATAGCTGTATTACCATATAATTAAGTAAGTGCGATAGCTAGAACGAAATCCGTCTAAGTCACATAACATATTCTGCTGGATCTTACGGAGCTTGTTCATGTACGATATGATCGGGTCTGACCATAGATCCCGGAAAAGGTTTTCTTCAAACAAACCGGCCTATATTCTTGCAAATCAAATGGGCCAACTTTGTTAAAGATATTCTCTTATATATCTCATCTAACATGACTAGTATACTATATATCCGTGAAAACAATTGATGAACTTTGTTACAAGTTCACTGTTATTTGAAAGTTTGTTCTAGTCTATATATAGAGGTACATTGTAATTCTTATGCACTGTGATTTATGATCAAGCAAAGAACATAGTCACACGCTTGCAGATTACATATTGCAGAAAATAAAAGGCGGAAATGAAGTCCCATTCTCACAAACTTGCAGATTACTAGGAACGCCATACTCCTGGAGTTGTCATAACCATGCACAGCGGTGGCCGCCGACCCGGTCTGACTGTGACAAACTTACCGAGGAAGCACACGGAGTTCTTCGAGGATTTTCTTCAGCTCCAGCACTAGATCGGATCTCCTGTCGTTCCTTTCCGTGGCATTTTGGAAATTCGTTGTGTGGGTGACGTGGAGAGCCATCTTCAAGTGGTCAGAGTCTACAATCTCCTTAATGACAACTCTATGACCTGGCTTCCAGTCTTTCGGCTTGCTATCCAAGTACCTGAAGGCTTATTCAATCAGAATTGAACCTTGTAAAATACTTGGCAGTGCTAAAATGAAAGCGCACACGCAGACACCAGAATTTCTTGAACTCCAAGCGACAGCTTCAACAGCCAAAAACAGAGGATGTTTGTGATGGGTTTGAGTTCATATGATGCATAATCAATAATAAGCTCATCACTATAACCATAATTAAGAAACTTCACTATACACAGAATTCTGTATCCACACTTACATTTCTTCTGAATTCTTGCCTATTTGGACACCGCAGATTTCAACGTGATGTACACAAGCAATCATGCATGCGAGGTACGACGTTTAATTCCTTAAAAAAGAGATTCAGGAGTAGCAGATGGCTTACTTTTTAATTTTATCTTTCAAAGCTTCAAGGCTCTCGACTGAAGTGGAGAAATTGACCATGAACTCCACAGATTCGCTCATGTTCGGGCTCCTGTTGAAATTGCTGATGGGTTTAGAGGACAGAACTGAATTTGGGTAAGATATCTTTTCACCGTTGTTTTTCAGGAAGACAGTAGTAAGGATATTCATCTCCTCAACCTCCATCTGCGATGAATCAAAATGTCAGACGAATATGGAATCTGTACAAACCAGTCATCATAGTCATAGGCTTAGTCATTCACCTCAACTTCATCGACGACGCAGCGGTCACTCACATCGAACGGATGCATCACAAATACAAACAATATGGCTTCGAACAATTGTTTGGCAGCATCCCCAAATATGAACACGAAAAGCAAAAGCTGCGACGAAATAAAGATGAGCACTTGCGTTGTCAATAATCCTGTCAGAAGCAACCACAGAATGATGACCACGACAAGCAAAACTGCTGAAGCAAGGTTGTTCAGCTCCTCAATGGCTGTTTTCGCATCATTCAAGGAGTGAGTGAGTGATTTCCGTTCACGATAGACATTCACCTGCAGATATAAACTATATAATTCAGATCATGTCTTTATGTCGATGTTTATCTATTGGTCCACATGCATGGTTTCTAGATCTTTCAGCTTCCAAAAGTCTCCTTAATTTCAGTTTGTTAGAAACAAGCTCCATAGAACGTTTGGCTTGGAAGCGAGATAAGAGCCAGCGAAGAGATCTGATACGCACTCACCAGCCAGCTCTTGAAAAACGACTTCATGATTTTCCGAGTTTCTTTCGCTTCGGAAAAGAAAGCAAAGAATTTCTCGATATGTTCCTTCGGCATGAAGCGCAAAAGGTCATCCTCCTCGATAAACCTAGTAAAAAGCAGAAAACAGGAATCAGTGACACACTCTGGAGCAATAAGATTTTTTTTAATAACCCAAGGGCACGGATTGGACACCCGGCTATGTAAAGGCAGCCCCATAAACTATTAAATCCAGGCCTTTGGCCTGTGCAAATTGCACAGTTCTAGGGCAATTCACTTGCAGTTGATGAGATTCGAAGGGGTAACCTCTATTTCCTTAAGCTAGAAATCCCCCAACTTTCCCACCAACTGCGCCAAACCTGGAGCTCAGAGCAACAGCATTATTTGCTAGAGCAGGAGAGAGTCTAAGGAAGTTAGCGCTCTCACTTGCTCCGTGGCTTGGCTACGTTCTTGAATATAGCTTTGGCAGCATCCTTGGCTTTATATTCATCGGTGATCTCCTTATCTGGTTGCTCTGCCTCATTGAGGAAATCGGTAAGATTTTTCGTCGTCCAAGCAGAAACTTTATCCGGCTTTATCTTTATTAGCTTCTCTATGTTCACCTTGAGACTTATCTTTGTATCCGCCGGGCCGGAAAGTTTCTTTATCACGTAGTATTGAAAGATGTCATCTTGAATGCGATCAAAGAATCTCTTGCATTGAAAAGAAGCAGCAAGCAATTTTATCAGAAATGTTTTGATCAGCCATAAGGCAGCTCCTAGGATACAAGAAGCAAGCGCCCTCGTGACCCAGTTCAGAATCTTGGTCGTGTGTCTTGATCGTTTCACTCCATAATTTATCAGCCAAACCCAGGCTAAAAGGACCAGACACAACCAGGCGAACACCTCGGCACTGTCCTTCAATGCAAAGAGAAAGTACAAAACGTTCTTTTTGAGCAGATATTTCTTCTCAATCAAGAGAACCAATAACGTGATCAACCAGTCAGTCACCAAACTACCACAAAAGATTGCCAACAGCAGCAAACACCATCCCCACAAAGGCACATGCCAAATAACTGTATTTTGCAGATTACGAATGGTTAAACTCGTTATCAGAAGCCCTGTGATGCACACAAACGCGACCTGCTGAGCCAAAACAACCTTCGTTTTGCCCGACATCACTTGGGACTTGGGATTCACTGTCTCGCACACATCCTCATCGTCTTCCTCCTCTGCAGCTGGTGATGGAACCGAACCGATTCGGGACATGCTCGGCACCGGTTGCACGGTGTCCTTAGATGCACTAGCACTTGTATCACTAGGATGCGGAGGTTCCATGAATCTCGATTTCAGCTTCACGAATGAAGACCCTGAGGTGGACTTTTTGGTAGGGATATTCAGAAGCTCACTCGGAGTCGGGATCGACTGAGTGAGCTCGTGAGCAGAGAGGCTTGTCAAATTGGAGATTTGTGAACTTAATGGAGGATTTTCAAGCTCTATTGGGTCAGTGTTTGGTTTTGGTGAAGAACCTCCGCTTTGACATTCAACGCCTGAAATCATAAGGACAACTTCATTTGATTCTTTCTTCTCTAACGAACTTGCATCGACCTCCATGAGTGCTGGGCAAATATAAAAGCTTTTCAGCTGAGAGCTTCTCTAAGGGAAAAGATGGACTTTATCACGAAAGTGAATGCCTTAGCTGAATTCAACGCAAAATCAGCAAACGAAGTCGAAAGGCTAAGGAGCAAGAGCAAATGTGGGAATCAGGAAGAGCAAAACATGGTAAAATGAGTGGGATTTTGCAGGGAGTGGATTAACAATTAGAGGAGGTTTTTTGTTCAGTATAGCTTCACGGAAGGCTCTATTTAAAGGGCTAAGAGAGCATGAATTTGCTTTGAGAAAACTACTTTTCAGTGATAAGGAAATTCTTAAAATGTGATTATGTTTTACAACATTACAGCGTCTCGTCGTAATCAATTGTAAAAAGCCTTGTGGAATGAAAAAACCTTGTGGCTTTGCCAAAAGCTGGAGTCCCTCTCACTAACCTTAATTTTCTCTAGCACAAGCTCCAATTCTTAATCTCACTTCCACAAACTTAGCATCTCTCTCTCTCTCTCTATTGAGAGTGCGCTCACTTATTTCAACTTGAATCTCCCAACTTCATCACTGATCTCTTTCTCCAAACCGAATCATGAAATGAAGTCTGCCATCGGGCTCGCACAACTCGTTGGTCACAAAATTCCTTGCTTGACTCATTCACCAAACACCGGAAATAGATTGGGGACCTACCAATCTACTCTGCTACCGTTTGTTGAGAGTGCGAGGCAGAAACCCAATACCTTCACATGGGGAGATCGCCCAGAGGAAGCCTAAGTCCAAGCTCGTTAATATATCCGGTTGAATCCACATTCACTTAAAAACTTAAGCAGATAAATTAAAAGCCAACTAAAATATATTAACTTCTCCATACCTCACCAATTATCCGATGTGGAACTTTTTAAATATAACTCACACACGTATGTCACCGCTTTCCACCTGATTATGGTGCACCAGACCAATTGCCTGACTCCGGAGCAGATTTCAGGGATGCACCAGCCCGTCACCATGACTCCCACATGATTTAATGATTGTATACATATGCATTCAGACAAGTATACCTATACATGATTCGTGCCAGAAAATTTTTATAGGTTTTATAGTTCTCTTTTTGCGCCTAGCTTCTATGTTTTATGGACTTTGTCATGCAAGAAAAAATTCAGAGACTTCGCGCTTTCTGTTGATCCCCATGGCCTCAACTAGGGAGATTGTTGCCATTCTAGTGCTCAGTTCTTGCTTCCGCTTGTTTACCAAAACTGCAATTTTATGAACTCGTTGATGCAGACCTTCCAGTCCTGTCCTATAGTACAATCCAATCGCCAAATCAATGGAGGATATGTGGCAATAATGGAATGGCCTTCCTCCTTTATTCCTAAGTCGACTGAAGTAGATGAAGCGGAATGATACTCAAAATTCTAATCAAACGAGCCCCTTAAGGCCAGGGAATCATTTGTCACAACTTTGTGGGAATCTCATTCCTTTTTATTGGGTTTTACTTGTTGTAATCCCATTCCCTTGATAATCCTATCTGCGGAAATTCCATGCCTTCTTCCCATTCCTACAGATCAAACGAGCCCCTCAAAGCTAAGGAATTATAGGTCGCAGTTTTGTCGGAACCTCATTCCTTATTATCTAGGTTTTGCTTGGTGTAGTCCCATTTCCTTGACAATCCTATACAGAGATTAAATTCCATCGCAGAGAATGGGAATTCAATTCCAATGTATGGCAGTCCATTTGGAACTCTTATTTCAGAGTGAACCAAACATCAGGGGTAAGTTACAGTACACACGCCTTTTCTTCGCATAAATTCGACGAAATTACGATACGTCATTTGTGGTGATGTTTTTCTGATTCTGGTTGGTTGATTTATCAGAATATTTCGGTTTTCTTAGCAGTGTTTCTAATAAATTTTGCACAAACTTCGCCGTTGTGACCCGGGTTTGTGTTTTCGTTGTTCTATAACATCCAGTTATTACTGTGGCCAAATCACTTATTTCGTGCATTTTTGGGGAAGCTATTGCTGCAAAACAAGGGAAATGAGACGCATAATTTAGGAATCATGAAGTGGACATGAATTTAACAAGAAATAGAAGAGCAATATTTGTAGGTTCAGGAATTCATTCACTCTCTTCGCTCGAGGTTGCAGTTTTCATTTGCAGATATTTGTTCATTTAGGAAAATGAAGATGAAATTGAAGGTGTGTTTGCTCCGGGGAAAATTTCACAATGAAGGGCAATTGCTTTCCAGGAAATCCTTTTGTTGCGGAAGCCAAGCGATCGAAAAATAAATTTGACAGAATAAGAAAATAAATCGAACACCAGAATTATGTGGTTCGGTCGTAGTGACCTACGTTCACGGGCAGAGCAGCACGAAATTCCACTATAAATCAAGCGATACAACGGAGATTACAACCACACTCGAGTCACTCAAACACTCTTAAGTGATTTCCAAGCCCCAGTTACACCCAATAACTCACGCAGCTCAATTTCGCAAAGGAATTATACACAAATCTTATCACAAAATTTACGCTTGAACACTAATTCACGAACGATAATCCACGGAAACATCCACCTCCAAGCACTCACGAATGCGGCGCTTCCTTCTTCGCGCACAACAACAATGCTTCTTGTTCACTTGCACGGCACACCAAGCACTCGCATTAAGGCGCTTCAAGACTCAATCTTCATTCTGGACATAGGCGGCACGAAGATCGCGCTCTGCACTCATCAACGACGGCACTCTACGAGCACTCACGGGAGCGGCGCTTCTATCTTGTCTCTGTGCAAGAAAGTCCCACATATAAAGAATATGTATTTATATGCGCCCATGTTTTTCACCGAATCGTGGTCCAAAAGAAAGTCCATGTTGACTTTGCAAGTTCTGTGGCCGAATTCCAATACATATTAGGAAAGCTTAATGCGATATATTTCCTTTTCTATTTTGTCTTGACCGACTCTTCAACACAGAAATAATTTCCGCAATCTTTAAGATTTGCCTTTGAACTTTCGTACATCGGACACATAATTCAATTCAGATCGGGTTATTTAGGGCATGTTTGGTAACGTGTCAAACAGTGAAAATTTCTGTTCTTTTGTTCCTAGAAATAATTTGGGAACAAAAATGCGTTTGGTAAACTTTTTGTTCCCGGGCAAATTTTTGCAAAAATTTGTGCCCAGAAATAGTTTTGGAAGAGAAACAAGAAGTAAAAAAAAGTCCTAACTTTAAAGAAAATATTTTAACATCGGACACATAATAATGTTCCCGGGCACATTATTGGGCTTAAACTCGAAACATATTTTAACACCTTTTTCAAGAAAATAGTTTCCCCCTTTTAGGTTAGGGAATTCATTTTCCTAACTTTAAAGATGCATATTTTCTTCAACTGTAAATAACTTTCCGTTGACTAATTATTTTCAGAAAATCAAATGCATGAAAGTCCAGAAAACTTATTCGTGGAAGATTCTTTCACTTAAACAAACACACTCTGAGATTCTATGGGAAATGGTTTGGTGGTTTGCTTGGTGAAACTAGTATTTGGATTTTGCACATATGATTCAATTGAAACAAATCGAGTTAACCGTAAAGACAGGACTAGCTAGTACATTGGTTTGCCAACTTAAATGTATGATAGGTCCAAAATTCTATTGTCCCGTACCCAAAAATACGTATCCTTTCATCAATAACTATTGGTAAGTATAAAAAATACTTGGGGTAAAGGAAAACAATTGGATTTTCATGTAACTTGCTGGTAACTTATCGAATTTTTGTAAAATTATTGGCTTTTTTTTTAATAATTTGCAAATTAGTAATTTTTGTACTCTATCATAACTTACCAATGCTTAATTATCCGATTAATTTGTTTAAGACCTGAAAATCCAAATATTTGCGGTGGAAAATGGCATAACTTTTTACATTATATACAAAGGATGTACTTGTTACTGATATATTTTAACCTGTGCTCTTCTTTCTTTAGGGCCTGATTTCACTTCATCAATAATGTCATAAATCAGGTCGATGCAGATGGAACGGCTGCATTACCATACAATAAAGTATGTACAATAGCTAAAACGAAATCCATCTAAGTCGCATTACATATTCCGTTGGATCTTAAGGAGCCTGTACATGCATGATATGATCGGGTCTGACCATAGATCCCGGAAAAAGTTTTCTTCAAATAAAAACAGTCTATATTCTTGGAAATCATATGGGCCAACTTTGTTAAAGATATGGTCGTATGTATCTCATCTAACATGATTAGAATATATCTGTGAAAGCAATTGATGAACTTTGTTACAAGTTGATATAGACGTCACTGTTATTTGAAAGTTTGCTCTAGTCTATATATAGAGGTACATTGTAATTCTTATGCACTGTGATTTATGATCAAGCAAAGAACAGTCACACGCTTGCAGATTACATATTGCAGAAAATAAAAGGCGGAAATGAAGTCCCATTCTAAGAAACTTGCAGATTACTAGGAACGCCATACTCCTGGAGTTGTCATAACCATGCACAGCAGCGACCGCCGACCCGGTCTGACTGCAACGAACTTACTGAGGAAGCACACGGAGTTCTTCGAGGATTTTCTTCAGCTCCAGCACTAGATTGGATCTCCTGTCAGTCCTTTCAGTGGCATTTTGGAAATTCGTTTTGTGGGTGACGTGGAGAGCCATCTTCAAGTGGCCAGCATCTACAATCTCCTTAACGACAACTCTGTGAACTGGGTTCCAGTCTTTCGGCTTGCTATCCAAGTACCTGAAGGCTTATTCAATCAGAACTGAACCTTGTAAAATACTTGGCAGTGCTAAAATGAAAGCGCACAAGCAGACACCAGAATTTCTTGAACTCCAAGTGACAGCTTCAACAGCCAAAAACAGAGGACGTTTGAGATGAGTTCGAGTTCATATGATGCATAACCAATAAGCTCATCACTATAACCATAATTGAGAAACTTCACTATACACAGAATTCTGTATCCACACTTACATTTCTTCTGAATTCTTGCCTATTTGGACATCGCAGATTTCAACGTGACATACACAAGCAATCATGCGTGTGATGTGCGACGTTTAATTCCTAAAAAGAGAGATTCAGGAGTAGCAGATGGCTAACATTGTTATTTTATATTTCAAAGCTTCAAGGCTCTTGACTGAAGTGGAGAAATCAACCATGAACTCCACAGATTCGCTCATGTTCGGGCTCCTGTTGAAATTGCTGATGGGTTTAGAGGACAGAACTGAATTTGGGTAAGATATCTTTTCACCGTTGTTTTTCAGGAAGACAGTAGTAAGGATATTCATATCCTCAACCTCCATCTGCGATGAATCAAAAAGTCAGACGAATATGGAATCTGTACAAAACAGTCATCATAGTTATAGGCTTAGTCACTCACCTCAACTTCATCGACAACACAGCAGTCACTCACATCGAACGGATGCATCACAAATACAAACAATATGGCTTCGAACAATTGTTTGGCAGCGTCCCCAAATATGAACACGAAAAGCAAAAGCTGCGACGAAATAAAGATGAGCACTTGCATCTTCAATAATCCTGTCAGAAGCAACCACAGAATGATGACCACGATGAGCAAAACTGCTGAAGCAAGGTTATTCAGCTCCTCAATGGCTGTTTTCGCATCATCTAAGGAGTGAGTGAGTGATTTCCCTTTACGATAGACATTCACCTGCAGATATAAACTATATAATTCAGATCATGTCTTTATGTCTTTATCCTTAATTTAGGTTTGTTAGAAACAAGCTCCATGGAACGTTTGGCTTGGAAGCGAGATAAGAGCCAGCGAAGAGATCTGATACGCACTCACCATCCAGCTCTTGAAAAACGACTTCCTGATTTTCCGAGTTTCTTTCGCTTCGGGAAAGAAGTCAAAGAATTTCTCGATATGTTCCTTCGGCATGAAGCGCAAAAGGTCATCCTCCTCGATAAGCCTAGTAAAAAGCAGAAAACAGGAATCAGTGGCACACTCTGGAGCAATAAGATTTTTTTAAACAACCCAAGGGCACGGGTTAGACACCCGGCTATCTAAAGGCAGCCCCATGAATAATTAAATCCAGGCCTTTTGACCTGTGCAAATTGCCCAAATCTAGAGCAATTTGCATGCAATTGGTGAGATTTGAAGGGGTAATCTCTATTTCCTGCTGGAAATCCCCCAACGTCCCAACCAGCTGCGCCAATCCTGGAGCTCTAAAGCAACAGCATCATTTCTAGAGAAGGAGAGAGTTTAAGGAAGTTAGCGCTCTCACTTGCTCCCTGGCTTGGCTACGGTCTTGAATATAGCTTTGGCCAATTCCTTGGCTTTTTTTTCATCGGTGATCTCCTTGTCTTGTTGCTCAACCTCATCGAGGGAATCGGTAAGAGGCGATAGCTCATCCCATCTGCTAATGACGTCAATCAATTTTATCGTCGTCCAAGCAGAAACTTCATCCAGCTTCATCTCAGGTAGCTTCGATATGTTCACCTCTAGCTTCCTCACAGCTCCTTTAATGCACTTATTGAGCCTTAGCATCACTCTAATGCTCGGGCTACCCACCTTGTCCTTTGGACGTGAAAGGGTCCTTATCACGTAGAACTGAAAGATGTAATCATGGATGTGATGAAAGAATCTCTTGCGTTGAAAAGAGAAAGCAAGCAATTTAATAAGAAATGTTTTGATCAGCCATAAGGTAGCTCCAATAAGACAAGAAGCGAGCGCCCTCGTGACCCAGTTCAGAATCGTAGTCGTGTGTCTCGATCGCTTCACTCCATGGTATGTCAGCCAAACCCAGGCTAAAAGGACCAGACACAACCAGGCGAACACCTCGGCACTGTCCTTCAATGCAAAGAGAAAGTACAAAACATTCTTTTTGAGCAGATATTTCTTCTTAATCAAGAGAACCAATAACGTGATCAAACAGTCAGTCACCAAGCTGCCACAAAGGACTGCCAACATCAGCAAACACCATCTCCACAGTCGCACTTCCCAAACTACTGTATTTCGTAGACAAGGAATGGTTAAACTTGCTATCAGAAGCCCGGTGATGCACACAAACGCGACCAACTGAGCCAAAACAACCACCGACATCACTTGAGACACCAGATCTACAGTCTTGCACACATCCTCATCATCTTCCATTGATCTTGATTTCATCCTCTTAAACGAAAACTGTGAGATTGATTTTTTGGTTGGGATGTTCGGAAGCTCACTCGGAGTCGGGATTGATTGAGTGAGCTCTTGAGACGATGGCCTCGTCAAATTGGAGACTTGTGAACTTGATGGGGGATTTTCATGCTCTACTGGCTTAGACTTTGGTTTTGGTGAAGATTCTCTGCTTTCAGCGCTTGGAATCATAAGGACAACTTCATCTACTCCCTTCTTCTGTGAAAAATCTTCATTGACCTCCATTAGTGCTGTGCAAGTGTCAAAGCTTTACAGCTCAGAGCTTCTGCAAGAAAAGGATGGACTTGAGCATGAAAGTGAATGATTTAGCTGAATTCAATGCATGATCAGCAAAGAAGTCAAAAGGCAAAGAAGCAAGCGCAAAATGAGTGAATCAGGAGGAGCAAAACATGGTGAAATGAGTGTGGGATTTGGCGGGGTAGGATTGACAATGAGAGGGGGTCTTTTAGTTCAGCCTAGTTTCGCGGGAGGCTCTATTTAAAGGGCCTCTTACAGAAGAGAGCATGAATTTGCTTTGAGAAAACTACTTTTCAGGAAAAAGGAAATTTATCTAAGAAGGTTTCAGTAAAAAAGCACAGTTAGGCAAGATCTGTCAGTTCAGGAAAACTTTGCTAAGCAGGTTCAAACATGAGCGAAAGTACCTGGGGTTGGACTTCGAAATTACAAGATTCGGAGTCAAACAAATTACAAGATTCTCAGAATTAATGTTACAGCTCGTGTAGTTGTTACAAAGTGCAAGAATGTCATATGATAAGAAGTCTTAAAATGCGCTTTCGATTATGTTTTGCAACATCATGACGGGTCGTCATGATCGAATGTAAAAGCGTTGCGAAATGTAAAAATATCCCCATACACAATGTTCTACCGTAGAAATCCCAAGCTTGGAGCGTGGTGGCCCCGGCAAGACATCCTCGTTCCATGTTTTCTTCCCAACCTTATGGCTTCTAGCACAAGCTCCACTACCTAATCTCACTCCCACATGTTAACCGAAGTAATGGAAGAGGAATGATACTCAAAATTAATCAAACGGACCCCTCAAAGCTAGGGGAATAAATGTCACAATTTTGTCGGGATCTCATTCCTTCTCATTGGTCTTTGCTTGTTGTAATCCCAATATGCAGAGATTAAATTCCATCCCGGACAATGAGAATTCGATACCATTGTGTTGCGGAAGCAAGTGATCGAATAATAAAATAAAATGAACATGACAATAAATCAGACACCAGATTTACGTGATTCGGTCATAGTGACCATAGTGACCAATGTCCATAGAGAGAGGAGCAACAAATTCCATTATAAATCAAGCGATACAACAAAGATTACAACCACGCTCGAGTCACTCAAACACTCTCGGTGTTTTCCAACCCCCAATTACACGCAATAGTTCACAATATTTAGCTTCACAATTCATTACAAAATGATCTCCCAATCTCGTACAGAAATACACAAAAACTCAATGAAGGATCTTCACTAAAACACTCTCCAATTTGATCTTGGTGTAATCAACAAGCCTCTGCTCCACAAAGCCGCTTCATTGAAAAACCCAAAAAGCGCACATATATATAGTAACGATGGAAGTCCAATATGGACTTTGCTAGTTTACGCCACATCGGAGTACGCCGAAAGATTTCAGTCAGATTTCCACATGCACTTAATAGAACGTCTACAAACAATAATTCATGTGGAATTTTGTTTACAGGCTCAAACTCAAGACATATTTTAACACAATGAACAGCAGTCCATTTCGATCTCTTATTTCCGAAATGAACCAAACATGATGGAAAAGTCACATTACAGTATTTTTCTTCACATAAATTCGAAGAAAATCACGATATTGATTCGTGGTGATGTGCTTCCAGTTCAGATTGGTTGATATATCATTATATGTCAGTTTCCTTAGCAGTGTTTCTAATGGAGTGTGCTGAAAATTTGCCGGTGTGACCCGAGTTTGTGTTTTCGTTGTTCCATAATATATGGTTGTCACCACAACCCATCATTTTGACACCAAAAAATGACGTGTATCTTAGTTGTAGTTTTTCCTCGATGATCCAATTTCACGGAACAACGTAGTTTGAATTTATTTTCTTAATTTTCTTTCTTTTCTTTTGTTTCCTCTCTTATTTCTTTTTTCTTTGTTTTGTCCTACTCTTTCCTTCTCCTCCGCTATTCATCTTCTTCCCTCCACCCTTTGAAGAAACCCTAATTGAAAAAATCACCCAGCAAATCTGGTGAAGCTCTCAATCTCACTATCACTTGGCCAAAGCTCTTCTGGCAATCCTTTGTCACTCATCGTCGGTAACCTCACAACAAGCTTGAACCGCCATGGACGATGAACAAGAGCTCTCGAAGGAAGAAGATGATCAGTCATAGTAATGTATCTTACACTCTTCTTTGTGAGGAAAGAGGTCCCGATTTGAATTTTATATCTCAGATTGGGATGCAAAAAAGGGATCCTTTTACAGGACATGCTCAACCATTGTCTCGCACAATGATAAGGTGAAAAGAAAAGTTTTAACATCAGATTTATTTCATGATACTCTTCTAAAGAGAGTTTTTATCCATTCACTATGCCTAAAATATAGGCTAAACCAAACGAAAGGGTCAAGCCAAAATAGCAGAGCTCGAAAACAGAAATCATAATATAATAGACAAAAGACACCAAAAACCCTAGATTATGTCCATTGTGACACATTTACCATAATCTTTTTTTCTGTCACACCAAAAATCTCAAAATTGTATGTGTGACACATTTTCCCTTTGTCAAGTTCCATCAATGAGCAATGTTAAAATTCTGCCTACATGGACGCTGGAAAGTAAACGGTACTAATATGGCACCCACATGGCTTAAATGAAATAAAAATAATATTTTTTTGGCTGAAAAATCATATGATAAAACCTTAACGAAGGGTAAAATTCTCATATAGGCACAAGCTTGGGCTTTTTTATGTCATAAGAAAAAGTTTAGAGTAAATGTGTCACAATGGATAGAGTTTGAGGTTTTTTATATTACAAAAAAATTGAGCGTAAATATGTTACAATGGACATAATTTAAGATTTTTTTACGGCTTTTTCCCTAATCTAATCCAACAATGGCAAATATGCGGAGAATGCTAAGAGACTGATGCAGAGGCAGAGACTCGGAGAGCCACAGAGCGCTAATGGTGGAAGAAGATGGACGGTAGGTCAAAGATGATTCCTTCTTTTCCGCGCAACTCTTCATCTTCTCCAACCTCGCCATCACTCAGCCAATGCTCCTCTGGCACTCCTCCGTGGCTCATTGTCGGTAACCTCAGAGCAAGCTTGAACCACCATGACGATTAACAAGAGCTCTCCAAGGAAGAAGAAGAAAAGTAACACAGAAAAGGAAAGAAAATAATGAGAAAAAAATTAGAAAACTATGCAAAATGACATCATTTCAAGTAGAGTTGCACATGTCAAATCGTTGACCATGCCACTAAGGACAATCGGTGATGACTGGATAGCCACATCAACGATTTTTTGTGACAATTGGCTGAACTATATTGAAATTTCACGCAAAAAATTTAGATTATATTGGCAAAATTGGAACTTTTAGCACTAAATTGATATTCGTACAATCTATTTGTGACTAATTGGGTAATTTTACCTTACCAAATGTTTATGAAATTACTAAATTTTTTTACAGTTTCAAAATTAGAATTTTTGTGCTAACTTACCAACTTTTATACACATAACTTATCAGCGCTTCATATTTATTAATTCTCATATAAAATTACCAAATAAGTTATAGTGATTTACCAACATTTATCGAATTAAATTGCCAACTAAATTTCAAATACCAACTCATATTTTATTTATTTATTGGCGTTAATCGTTTTTTAATATAATAAGTTCAGATCGAGTTATCAATTTTTATTTGTCTCGATTAGCAACCTTTTATTAGCGTGGTGATTCACCAACTCATTTCCCATCAAACAACCGTCCAGTCAACATTCTAAAACTGAATTGAACAGGACCAAACTGGCCGGTTCAACCAGGTAGTGGCCAAGTCACTAGTCCGGTTCACACCTTCATACCTTGGATGGTCAAAGCTGGTCAAGAACTGACCAAACGAGTTAAAACTACGGCCTTGCCGAACGGACCAATTTGGTTTGAACCACGACTAGACCGATCCGTTTTGCATAATTGTTAAACTTGCGTTGTGGAGGGCATGGTCCGAACCTCTAATCTCTTAGACACCATTCATTCGTTTTACCGTCAAAACTTGGGAGAGCTTTTGCTCCATATTGGCAAACAGCTCAAAAAAGGTCTTATTCAGGACATGGTGAGATTTGACCCTGTCACCTAACAATTAGACACGACTCTACCAACTAAACTTTGGGCAAATACTACTCGAGTTTTGCACTACAGTTTATATATTTGTTATTCTTCAAGCTGGCTGACATTCCGGTTGAACTGCATCCGTTCGCCTTGCCTGTATGGCCTTCAATACTGTTTTTAAGACATTTTATCTTGTAATGCGTTCATCAACTATCATTTGAGTTACTTCCTGACATTTATTTGTTCTTTGTTTTAATTTGCTAAGTTTTCTTATCATTTACAAGCCTTTATCTGTGTTTCTTGGAAAGTGGAAACGCCACAAATTTGCCAACTTTTCTTAGAATTTACTAATCTTAATTAAAGTGACAAACCAATTTTTTTTCTAATTAAGTTACATTCTCCGGTAAACATTGATCCACCCTCTCTCTCTCTCTCTCTCTCTCTCTCGCCACACCAAATATGGTCAACCTAGCTCATCTACTAATATTCTCTCTGATTGGTGATTAACATGTTGATTAGTAGAACGCTGCGTTAGCGTCAATTCATAAAATCATACATAACATGCTTGTCCTCTCTTGCAATTGCATGCATGAAATTCAATGACGTCACCATCGTTGGTTTACGTCGCATATTAGATACTTAGGGCCGCCCGCCATCTAGATTAGAGTACTTCGATGTACTTGATTAGCTCACAGCCTCTCACGATTTGAAATCTCTCACGATGTGCTTACTATAATTAACCCATCATTAAGGTATACTTAATTAACCTACGTGGCAATAGCCAACCTTCAACTTGTCCTTTGATCTGATAAGCTCGAATTCGAGCATGTCTGCATGTTGTTTCTACGTTGTTTGGACTTTGTCGTGCAAGAAAAAGTTCATAGACTACGCACTTTTTCTTTTGAGTCCCCATGGCCTATATTTGCGTGAATGTCGCCATTCTAGTCCTCCGTTCTTGCCCACTTGTTTATGAAAATTGTCTTTTCGTGAACTTGTTGATGCAAGCCTTCCGTTCCTGTCGTACGGTGAAAATCAATTAACAAAATTAATGGAGGACAATGTAGCCCCCAATGGAATAGCCTTCCCCCTTTATTCCTAAGGTAATGGATATAATGGAAGGGGAATGATACTCGAAACTCTAACGAATTATATGT